TTGTTTAGCAGGCCCAGGCCAGGTTCGAACTCGCTAGTCCCAGTGTATGTGGCCGGCCCCCTAACCACTGAGCTACAGGTGCCAAACCAAAGCAGACTAATCTTTTTCTCAAGATCACTTTAGCATGCATTTAAAATTATAGAAAAATCCATAATTTCCAAATGAATTTAGCCTATTTTATAAACAACATCAGGTAAGCAATACTCTACACACCTTAGGTAACGTTATGGTTGTTATTTTTAATTAACTTATAACATAAATATACTATAGAACAGATTTAAATTGGAGGTGAAAAAATAATGTATCCATGTAAGTACTTATTCTATAAAGAGGACTTATTTGGGGCCAGAAGGAATGCAAACAGACAAACTTTACTCTCTGTGGGACAATACAAAATAATCTCTTTAATCAGAAAAGGCTCCCTACAACTTAGGATCACTCTTCACCAGTGGACACACCTGACCAGCTCAAGCAGGGCAGAAGTGCAGCAGGCCAGGCTGGTAGAGCCAGGAATGTGTGTGTGACTTCCTACCTAAAATTAGCCATGCCCATTTCACCACAACTGGGTTGGGCTCCTCTATTTTAAGGTGTAGAACTCCAAATTGCTTAAGAGTAGGTAATTGCTGGCTACTTTCTAAAGCAGTGCTTTTCAACTTTTTTTAATCTGCCAGCACACTTGAACCTAAAGTTAAACTTGCACAGCACACTTAAAATATATTGATCCAAAAAAATAAATAAATAAACCTACTGTGCTTTGAATTTCCTTTGAAAACAATTCAATTAATAATCCTTTAAAATTTTCACAGCACACCTAAGGTCCTCTGACAGCAAACCAGTTGAAAAATCATTGTTCTAGAGCTAAGAGGGCCAGTAAACGTTCCACCAAGACTTTAAGATTGCCAACCAGTCTCCACAAAACCCCACATTTAATCATCCACACTATCAAAGACATATTAAAAGCAGAAGCAAGAAGAGACAGTCTTTATTCTTGTCTGCTACCCATGCCCACCACACACACATGCACATACCTGCCTATACAATGTAACAAAAGTGGGGGGAAATGATAAAAAGCATGGTACTAAAGAACTGTGCTCTTATCTTTCCAGGAAATCATACAGAACTGACAGCTGAAACCTTTCCAAACAACGTCACACTACTGTTCCCCTCTCTCTGAAAGTGCTGTGCTACTGAAGTCAATCCAGCTGAAGGGGCTCCTCAGCCTTCATTCTGCATGCCAGAAACACAAGAAGGGAATTGGTATAGCTCTCACAGGTACTGGCAGGAGCATTCACAGTAACGTTTAAAAAAAGATGCTACATTTTCAAACACAGATGAAAGAAAATGAAAAGACATGCCCTCTCACCAAAACTACAATAACGCTATTGATGAATGATGATAAAGTTGTGTTGTAAGTTATATGGGCTTAACACACACCTGAAATTCAAGCTGCACAGATAACATTTATGATTTCCACAACCCCAGGGCAAAGACCCAGCATCTATTTTATTACCGGCAACTTGAGATGCTCAATGCAGAATACACATTCAGTACTATTATTTTCCTGATAACTGTCATGTTCCAGCACTCCACAGTATTAATACCTGCTCTGACAGACTCAATCAATTATGATAAGTAACAGAACATACATACCTTCATCTTCAGAGGCATGACATTTTACTTTCAATACCAAATCAAAGGTTCTCTCTGGATTGGCCCTAAACAAAAAAAAAAGGAACTTTGTTACATTTATTTCCTGAAACCATTAGCAACTCCAAAAGCTTCCATTTTCTTAATTCTAAGACTAATCTTGTTCATATCAATACATTCCAAGTAACTATACGACTTGTTATAATCTTATCCTAATCAATATATTCCAAGTAACTATAGGACTTGGTATAGCACAAGTAACAATGAAAATGTTTTCTCAGGAAAGCCAGCACAGTGGCTCACACCTGTAATCCTAACACTCTGGGATGCCAAGGCAGGTGGGTCACCTGAGCTCACAAGTTCCATACCAGCTCTGAGCAAGAGCAAAACCCCATCTCTAAAAAAATAGCTGGGTGTTGTGGCAGGCGCTTGTAGTCCCACTTACTTGGGGGACTAAGGCAAGAGTATCACTTGAGACCAAGAGTTTGCGGTTGCTGTGAGCAATAACACCGTGGCACTCAATCCCAGGGTGACCCAGTGAGAGTCTGTCTCAAAAATAAATAAATAAATAAATAAATAAAATAAATGTTCTCTCAGATTAGAAACTTCAGATTGCTGGTACTTAGAGGAGATTTGAGGCTAGGGGCAAAGCATTTAGTCCCTGAAGCTGGTTGTTTACCTTAAAAAAAATATATATATATAAAGTGCCTTGTCCACGTCACAGAATAATTGTGAGGATTATTAAGTCAGATAATGTGCGTGCCAGCACATTATATATTAAGTGCTGTATGAATGCAAAGCACTGCTTTTATCTTACTGAATCCAAATTGGACAGCCAGTGTGTCCCTAAGTGTCTTTATACCTTGCCAACAGAGTCTAACACAGGCTCTCAATCTTTCTTCCAAGGACTTGCAATGTAAGTGTAAATGAATACCTGGTTCCACCTGCTGTGTTCTAGATAAGACCTTTATAAAGCTCCAGGAATGTGATACTGTGGATATACTTTCCTTGAAATGTATTTATGGTTGTTAACCATGTTCAAAGTAGCAAACTATTTGAAGATTCATAATGAAAAAAGATTTCTCGTACATGTATATCAATTGTCATTGGCGAAACTGAACCTCAGCCCCTATATTAGATTTTTTTCCACTACAAGCTGCCAGGTTGATTTACTTCATTCAGAAATTATTGACTTTTTTTCTAACTAACTTGCCACACATTTAAGTATTCATTGGCAAATTTCAAAAAGGGGACTGAAATCCATTAGGCCACTTTTTTTTCAAAACATAGTTCTGTTTTATCTCTCCACCAGAAGGTACAAAACTAAGCATAGTCTGATACCACAAAGTCCAAAGTCTTATTCTTGCTTACAACACTTGAGTATCTTTGCACGTTGACTACTTTAATATACACAAAACTAATGCCAGCTCTGACTTCTAAATAAACGTTGATTTTTAAAAAAATTATTACAAGACATAAATCTAGAAAGTGACAACCCTTATAAATTAATTCACAAATAGACATTTCCTCATCCCTCCCGGTATTAACTGGTTTCAATGGGAAAAAATCTGAAGTTGGATGGTTTCTCCCACCCTCACACCAATTAACGCCAAAAAGTACACTCTTTTAGTCACCCTGTCCATCATGAGGTCAAACAATGAACAAAACAGTTCCAAATTACACTATTTTCCTAATAATATCCTTTATTACACCTCTTAGGTGTAACATTAAATATTGATACAGTTATACTTCCGTGAAATTTAAAAGGCCTTTCACAGTAATATAAATATACATGACAGTCATTAAACTCTGGTGGGGGTGGGGAGTAAAGAGGGGTAGAAGGATGGAAAGAAGGAATTCTTTCCAAAATAAGTTTCAGGAGTAAAATAGAAAACTCATGCCTCTAAGATACCTAGAAACAAAATCACCGTCGTTAAAACCTTGCTTTCTACCTACTCTCCTGAAGTAAAATAGCCACTGCTGAATACTTTAGGACACACGTAAAAATACCACCTAACTGGATACCATTTTGCAAGCACCGTGCACTCGCACAGTGCCTGGATAAACTAGCATCGCAGACCAATTCAATGAGAAGAAACAGAAGAAAACATCCAAGACAACGGTTCTCTGAATGCCAAGAAAGCACATTAAATGATAACCGCTTCGCCTCAAGGCTGAGTCCCTCCCGGACACGACACGGGAACAGCGGGACGAGTCAAGTCTCACAGTCCGGGGGAAGAACGAGAAGCGGCAGCGACCGCCGGCCTCGCCCCTCCTGGAGGGGCCGCCGGGCTGGCCAGGCTTGCGGCCTAGCGCTGTCCCGCCGCCGCCGGAGCTGGGGGGCCGGGCCGCACCCCCACCTTCCCGCCCAGCGTCGCCGGCCCCGGAGCCGTCCCGGCGCCGAGAGGACCAGGGGACCCGGCCCCGAGGCCGGGAAGAAGCCGC